TTCCCATTTTCCAGATGTAGGAAACCTTGTCAGAGTTTAGTAACCCTTCTAAAGTCTTTTAACATGAGGGAAGTAAGGCAATGACTTGGATTTTTCTGACTCCAAGTCTGGTACTTTTTCTGGTTGTTACTGTTTCCGGGACCCTGCCAAGCAGTACTGGCAGGTACTCTGCAGTTGTACGGGGTGTTTATCACACAAGGGACACTGGGGTGAGTTCTGATGTTCAGCCAGTGCTCCATCTGCCACAGTGAGCCCTAGACGAAGGGACCCCTTTTCCTCATTTCTACCAAGGTATCATATAGGCTGGTCAGGGTGAAGGTTACATCCAAGGGTGTTCTCAGCTTCTAATCATACCAGATGTTTTCCCTTTAGATAGTGACTGAGGTGCCTTCTGGTCAAAGAATCAGCAGTCATTGCTGGTGGTCTTTCATTGGCTTGTAAGCAAGCTCAGGCAGTCTGACACAGGAATCGTCACCGTGTGCTACGTGAGGCAGGTGACGACGGCGCTGTGGTGCATTGTCCTCTCTTCCTAGTTTATTTCCTTTTCCTCTCTTCCTAGTTGGTTCCTTTTCCTCTCTTCTCTTCTTCCTAGTTTGTTTCCTTTTGTCCATCAGGCGGGGTGGGGTGTAGGGTGAAGTGGGCAACACCCATAGGCATTGATTGATTGGCCTTTAGACAGACACAGAGATCGCTGACCCAGGCGGGCTGACCCGGCATAGCCACATAGCCACAGTCACATTTCTTTTTTAATGTTTTTTAAATTTCAGATTAATATAAGGGTTTGGGTTTGCTAGGTGAAGTCTGAGTTGCAGTCGAGCCCTTCATCCAGGAGGTGTGCCATAGACCTCTCCATTACACCCGTTAGGTGGGAACTTGCCAACCCCCTTAACCCTGCTCCTTTTTGAATTTGATTGTGTGTTTCTCTCATACGGGCCTGTAGTTGTTCATCTACTACTTTCATCTTAGCATTGAGTACATGGGATACTTGCTTTTCCACTCTTGTGATACTTGGAAGGATATTCTCCAAATCCTTCCAGGTAAAAGCAAGAGATGTAAAGTCTCCATCTTCCTCACAGGCATATCTTGCTCAGAGGCTGACAGAGGGCGTCCCAGTGAAAACCTCCACAGCCCAACATCAAGCTGATTATAACCTTGGCTAGAGAATACCAATTCTGTGCTGTAGAATAGCGGAACTCAGTCACAGTTTTGTAGTTACTTCAGATATAATAGATGAACG